GCCTATTTCTTTGTAGTAATACTTATCTAGGGAATGTCAAAATCATGCTATAATAAATACGGTTCCTAAGTCCATGGATTTACAGCTATAATATATTTTGCCCATGCTTATAGAGGTAAGTTTCTAGGGCTCTTATAATCATTTGATCCCACATTTCCAATTACCAGGCTCATAGGATTTTGGAGTCATTTTATTTTACTTGTTCTAAAAATTTCCTTTAATAATAATACTACTAGCTAGTTTTTAATGAGTTCTTCTTATGTGACAAACACTGTGGTAACTACTTTATATAAATCTCACAACAAACTTATGAGGTATTATACTGTTATTATTTCCATCTGACAGATGAAGAAACTAAGTTTAGAGGTGTTAAAGAATGTGTACAAGATCATTCAGTCAGTAAACAGTGGCATCTGTCCTAGTCTAAAATTCTGGGAGTGCTTTTAATACTTAAGATTTCACAATTATTCTATGTCATCCATACTCTTCATTTACAGTTTCTGTCACTTATGCTTCTGGCCAAGATGGAATAATGGGAACTGAATTTACCTGCCCCCCCCACCAACTGAAATAAGAAAATACTGTGCAAAGTATATGAAATAGAAGATTACAAGATACTGGAAACCTCACAATGAAGAACAGTAATCCCTGAGAGAGAGGAAATAAATGAGGAGAGTCTCACAGTTACAGCAGCTTACTGCCCTGAATATTTTCAGGCTGCCACTCGGGGGATGAAGGACATCCAGATGGAACCGGGTTGATGGAATGAATTGAGGAGACAGGGCTGAGAGTGCACGGAGACCAAAGCATTGAGAGTTCATAGAACAAGGCATAGAATTCCAAAAACTGGCAAAAAGTGCTTCTTGTGCATTCAGCTGAAAACTAATCACCTAATATGTGTGAGGAAGCTACCCAAGGTAGAGGAAAGAAATACCTAAAATGGTTAGAAGTCAAAGGTCCTGGTAGTAACATATTAATAGTGCCTATTTCCACTAACCATAGTGAACGTCTCAAGATTCATGGGACATTGGGTACAGTATTGGGGAACAACTAGCCCAAGACTGCAGTCCCACATAACAAAGCTTAAAAACAAGTTCTGAAAGAAACAACTATTTCTAAAGAACTTAACTGTGAAGCAGAACAAAGCTCAAGAATAACTGTAGCAAGACGAAAATATCTAGCATCCAAAATGTTTAAAATTCACAATTTTATCAGCAACAAATAAAACATTATCAGGCATGCAAAGAAGCAGAAGAATACAACCCATAATGAGGAGATAAATCAATTGAAAACGACTCAGAACTGACACAGATATTAGAATTAGCAGACAAGGACATTAAAACAGCTTTTAGAACTATAGTCCATGCGTTCGCAAAGCTAAGACAATATATAAAATTCAGCAACATAAAAATTTTAGAGATGAAAACTACAACATCTGAGATGAAAAATACACTGGATGGAATTAATGGAAGATTAGACGTTGCAGAAAAGTACAGTAAACTTCAAGGCATAGCCATAAAAAACTGTCCAAAATGAAACAGGGAATAGAAATTAAAAAAAAAAAATGTACAGCATCAGTGAACTTTGGGATAAATTCAAGCAAATGTACTGGAGTCCCTGAAGAAAAGGTTAGAAAGAAAATATTGAAGAAATAATAGACAAAATTTTCCAAATTTGATGGAAACTATAAACCCACACACAGATACAAGAATCCTCAATGAACACCATGCACAAGAAAGATGACAACAAATACTTCAGGGCACATGATAATCAAATAACTCAAAACAAATGATAAAGAAAAAATTATAAAAGAAGCCAGAGAAAAAAGGCATATTATGTACAGGGAAACAAAGATAAGGATGATGAGATTTCTCAAGAAGGCAGCACTGGAGCAATATCATTAAAGCACTGAAAGAAAAATTACATCAGCCTAGAATTCTACACCCAGCAAAATATGTTTTAAGAATCAAGATGAAATAAAGACTTTTTTTTCCCAGACATACAAAAGCTGAAAAAATTCAACACCAGCAAGTCTACACTACAGGAAATACTAAAAGAAGTTCTTTAGGAAGAAGGGCAATGATAATACATGAAAATATTTACACAACAGATAAACAAAACAAAACAAAAAAACACTGGAGTTGCTAACTACATGGGTACATATAATAATTTTTTATGATTTCAGTATCTTAAAAAGATAATTGACTGCTTAAACAAAATGATATTCATGTAGTGTGGAATTTATAAAATATGTAAAAGTAAACCGTATAACAACAATAACACAAAAGTTGAGAGAAGAGAAAAGGAAGTATGCTATAGTAAAGTTCTTATACCATACATAAATGGTATAAAAACACAAAAGGCTTTGATACGTGATCACTAAAATAACAAAACAAAGAGAGCTAATAAGCCAACAATAGAGATAAAATGGAATGACTAAAAGTCCAATTATTTCAAAAGAAGGCAGAAAAGCAGGAAAAAGGAAACAAAGAACAGATGGAAGAAATAGAAAACATACAGCAAATTGACAGACTTAAACCCAACTACATTAAGTACCCCAGTTAAAAGGCAGAGATCGTCAGATTAAAAAAAAAGGAAGACCCAACTGTACGCTGCCCAGAAGAAATGTATTTCAAATATAAAGCACAAGTAGGTTAAAAGCAGAAGGATGATAAAACATATACCAAGATAATACTAATCCAAATAAGTTGGAGTACCTCTATTAATATCAGGCAAAGTAGATTTCAGGCCAAAAAATATTGCCAGGAATAAAGTAATTTTCCTACGATGTCGGATTATTTGATCAGGAGGACATTATAATCCCAACTATTTTTGCAACTAATAGCAGGGCTACAAAATTCATGAAACCAACATTGATTGAAATGCAAGAAGAAAACAGATGAATCCACAATTATAGTTGAAGATTTGCACACTCCTCTCTCAGTAACTGATAGTACAAGTAGATATAAAATCAGGAAGGATACAGAAACTTGAACACTATTAAGCACTTGACCAATTTAACACAAAACTTGTATGTTTCAGATTGAGATAATGAAATAAAATGCACTAATATGCAAACTTATATTCTATTAAGAAAAAAAATTATATATAATTATTAAGTCACATGTTTAGTGTAAAGGGAGACAAAGAAGTAGGTCACCACTTTAACAGTTTGGCCATGTTTTTAGATTTTTTTCCCTAAATTAACTTATATAGGAGTTTCACTATTATAAATGTGGTTTTTTTTGAATATTACATAGTTAATGGATGAAATATTTATTTGACTTAAAGTTAATTTCAAGAGCTTTATAATTTATAAGGTCATCTTGTGAAAGATATTTGCACTCTCTAAGCATCAGAGTGCCTCCTTTAAAAGGTGAACGACAAAAACAGAAATAGTTAATCACAATAAATTGTGACAATGTCAACATCTAATCGAATAAATTCAAAAACAGTCTTACAAAATACCCCATAACCACTGAATCTAAAATGCCTTGATTACAAAATACAGAATGATTTTTTTATATTCTTCTAGGAAAGAGTAAGGGCTTCCAATTAAACTGTGATACTTCAAGATACACCAGTTTCTGAGATGTTAAAATGTAAAATGCCTGTATTCTGAGATGTTAAATGACTGTGCCCTGAGAAGTTATATGAGTGTTCTGAGATGTTAAAATGTAAATGGATGTGGCTTTCATAATCTTAACCTAAACATATGTCTCCCCTAAAATGAATTTTATGTGAACTGAATTCTGACTCTGTTGACTGACTGAAATACCCATTCCATGCTTAGTCTTTCTGGGAAAATTTATAAATTCTCTGCCTTGCATCCTGGATGAGATTGCCAACCTCTGTATGGGTTCAACAGGAACAAAATATCTAGATTACATGGAAAAACTATTATTAATTCAAAAATACTTAATCTATATGGCAAAGTTTGTAGTATTTCCCTAAAAATCTGTGAACGAAGAGATTTTGTTTCTGATAATGTCTTCAGAAAGCTAGTGCTTTTTTGCAGGAAGACTCTAAGCAACAAACTGCTCAATTTCATTGATCCATCTTAGGTCATATTTTAACATCTAATCGAAATTAGTCATTGATATTGCCCTTGAGTGCTTTCTCTCCAGAGGTCCCACAGAAGTTGAGACTAGTAAATACTATGAAAAATCTTCAAAATGGTATAAGCTTTAAAAAAAAAGAGCTTATATATAAATAAAACATAGATTATACAGGCCAAAGAAAAATTTAACAAATTTATAAATTAAAATACAATCAAGGAAACTGAACAGAGGAACATCCCATTTTTTTTATTTTGATGAACAAGTATTATATCAAAATTAGTCTATTTCTAAAATTCCTAATTGTCAAAATAATCAAGGAGATTTAAAATGTTTCAAAATACTTTAGTTAACCTTTGAGACATTCTTCTCCAAGAACACTTTTTTCCTAAAGTCAAAAATATGTCTTAATAATAAAAATAAAATTATCCTTTATTCAAACAGTGCTCTTTTACATGTGCCTTGTGATAAATCATTCAAGTTTCTGTTAGGGTTATAAAATATAAGCTGAATCTTACATAGTTGGATGTTAGATAATTGGTAATATGGAAAATATTACCAGTAATTTATTTTCTATAGGTTACACCATTACATATTTGACTACCAGCTCCTTTACAGATCTATTCTTTAAAGGCTTTTGTTTAATGTATATTTTATAGTATTAAAAAATCCAAATCTGTTGCCGTCAAGTTGACTCCAACTCATAGTGACCCTAGGACAGAGTAGAACTGCCTCATTGGGTTTCCAAGGAGTGGCTGGTGGATTCAAACTGCCAACCTTTTGGTTAGCAGACAATCTCTTAACCACTGCACCACCAGGACTCCATTTTACAGTATATGTGGTCATTATTCTCAGTACAGATGCATAAGCAGTTCATTCAATCAAATTTGAGTACAATTTGATCCTCAGTTGTGCATTTTACAAACCACCTGGATGACCTACCTTATCTTTTCTTTGCTTTTCATCCTGATACACAGTCCAGTGTTCTCCATCATTGCTGTAAGCTAGTTTGTAGGAACCTACGAACTGAACATGACCAAAATCTTTAGCTCCTTGTGTGATGATGCCGGTCACTTTGGTAGGAACAAGAAGATCCACCTAAAAGAAGAAAAAGACATAATTTAAATGCAACAATAGATTTATTATAATTTTGCAAGTCCCTTGAACTCAGGGGATTAAGAAACACACATGCTAAAGTCAAAAATCTGCCTAATTATTAATATTTTGAAACTGATCACTGAGTCTATCTTTAGCTTATAATTTTGTGTTTGCCACTGGGTAAACTTAGTCCAAGCTCCTTGAACACCCGTTTTGACCATTTTAAAATAAGATGATGGAAACTTCAGTCCACAAATCCTTTTTATATTGAACTGACTCATCTAGCTGTCATTGAAATAGAACAGAACTGGCAAGGCTGACCTTCTTGAAACTGGTCATTAACTCCTACAACTTGTGCTTATAATTCAGTTTACTGACTTTACTGGTCAATTAAATAATAATAAAAATAAAAATTGCTGTAACTGTGTACATATCAGGGCAAAAATGGTATTAGATGTTTCACAATTAAACATTAAATAAAGTCAACCCTGTTTCCATGAATTTTAATCAATTCAGTAATATATAATTGAGTAATAGTATCATTGTCCAATCAAAAATTCTTTCAGAAACAACTGTTGTAAAATGTTGAGGTAGGAATCAACACCCTTCAAAAACAAAGGAGGATTAAAAGTACCCACTTCTGACTTATAGTATCTGTGCTCATGATGTGCTCTTTCCTGTGAAAAAAATATTTAAAGGGCACAAAACTTATTAGTTGATTACTGATAAATGATTAAAAGTTATTAATCATTAAAATCACCAAAATTTAAATGAAATGTAAAAGACATGGATGACTTTCATCAAAGAAGAATACATAATATGTAATAGTTCAGTATCTTCCCTCTTCATTCTCAAATTCACCCATGCATTTGTTCTTACATTTTATAATTCTAAAAAAAAACCTAGGAAGCTTTGTTTTCCATGTGGACAGCTCTTGTAAGACCTTTATCTTTTGTTTTATTTATTTTCCTTGATCTATAGCTTCCTCTCTCCTTCTACAGTAGCCACCTACTTCCACCTACTTCCTACGACTAAGTGCCTTGCTATATCCTTGATCTTATCGACTTTAACTGTGATGATCCCGTGTGGCTTTCAACCACTATGTCCTCTTGTTTCTATTTCTGGTCTTCCATCCTGTGAGATGTAAGGTAGCCAAAAATAGGCAGTCATGGGTCAAATAGAGGCCATAAGTGAGACGAGAGAGCTAGGGATAATGCAAAGCAATAAGACCATATTTAATGACATATATGCCAACCAACAGAGATGTTAAAAAACTGGAGAAACCCCGAGAGTATGGCCCCCATACACCCTTTTAGCTCAGTGGTGAAGTTATCTCTGAGGTTCACCGTTCAGCCTGGGAATGGACGGCCCCATAAAACCAAATGGGACTAATGAGGTACAGTAGTCCAGTGACAAGGGCCAGAAGGCAGAAGGGGACAAGGAAGCTGGTGATAGGGAACCCAAGG